AAACCAACTCTTCTTGAAAATTGTTTTTTTTTTCAAACAGTTGTGGGAAGACTTCAATGTAAAAACCAATATTTATTGAGAATCTATTTTTTTCGTAATTAATAGTCTAAAATTAATTTCTAACAATAAATTATTGAAAATATGTACATACGCCAAAGATTGTAATTCAGAAACTAACAATTTATAGCATGTTTAAAACTGTATATGTAAAGCTATCATGACCAATATAAACTTATACTACTATTTCTATGGGTAACAAAAAAAATCTGTTACAAATATCTGTTATAGTTAATTATTAAATAAATAGATATAAATAAATAACAAGAACAACAATTAAAAATTTAAAAATGAGAAAGAAATAACTGCATACATATTTTAGTGGGCAGACATGTTTTTTATGGTGGGTTGAAGTTTCAAGTTTCAGTTGAGGCTTGAGGCCGAAAAACAAGCCACCATTCTTCTTTTATTTTCCTCTATTCTTTCTCTCTCAAAGTCTTACTTTACACCGTGACAAGTTTGTTTTCCGGTCTTTAATTAGTTTGTTGAACCTCTTCATCTACATATATCCATAAAGCTTAATAATTTCTTATTTTATTTAGTTATAATTTTATATTTCTTTATAACTATTTTAAAATAAAATGGTTAAGTTTACTTATAAAAGTGTTATAATTTTATTTCCTCATAAAAAAAATTACTTATATTTATAGTAAAACAAATCTTGATATTAAATTATATTTTGTTTGACAATTAATATAATGTACTATTGTTCTTACAATATGAACACAGAGTTTTAATTACATACAATTGGTATAAATAAATTAATAATACGAAAAAACCAACACATTTGCAATCTTCACACACATCCTTCCATGAATTCGTACTTGACCCTTATGCACAAAATAAAAAATTATAATTATTTTTTTTTTTGCCAAAAGGATAAGGATATTATAGATAAAAACGCACAACTGTGCAAAAAAAAAAAGCCCATGGTTGAATATTACAACTAGGAACTAGAAACTGGAAGGACGGATCGAAAGACCGCCTAGAACCTCGCTAGCCACACTAGAAAAGAAAAAACACAACACACAAAACAAGACACCAACACACCAACTACGAACTCTCCCCACAGGAGAATAGAAACGCCCCCCACAGGGGAATCAGCACCGAGGCCAACGGCCCAAACCTAAAACACGATCCTACCAAGCAACGCAACCGACTCACAAAGACCAAATGGCCCCATAAAAACACAAACCTAAACCACACAAGCACCAACACAAAGCGAACAACCTAAAAAACAAATCTAACAATAAACAAACGAAGACCTTCCTCAATGAGATAACCGATCCCAGCACTAGGCGCCACCAGAACAAGGACTAAACACCCCGCAGCTTGATCTGAAAGCCGGAACGCCTCTCCCGCTACTGCCTACTGTCTAGCAAAGGACGAGCTCCGAGTTTCGAACCATTCCAAGGATGTAGTCGACCCATAGCCGGAGAGTACTAATCGTTCCCCCACACGCCAACAGCCCAAGACTCGGCCAAACACCATTGACCTAGGCCCGGGCTTGCCGGACGTCCGACTCCCCAGGGGACACGAATCGACCACTTCAGCCTCGGCAGAATCAACTCAAACGGGCTGAGCCACCGGACTCGCATCTAACCCCGACCACTTACATCCATAAAGCCGCCCGCCCTGAACCAGACCCCAAGCGGCAGAGCTCCCACCGGAACCCGGGAAGAGAAGAAGCCAACCATCAGCCAGCCCCCATAGCCTCGACTCGGAGAATCAGAGGGCCGAACCACCGCCAGCGAGCATGAATCGACAGGACCTACCGATGGCGAAGGAGGAGCGCCCTCGGTGCAAAAGAACGAGATAGCAAGAGATTGGGGCGAGATGACTCGGCTATAGGCCATCTGCCGGCGAAAGAATCGGCTACTCGCCGGGGAAGGCAAGGGAAACTCAAATCGGCGCAAGCAGAAGATAGGGTTACGGGAAGAGAGAAATTGGGGGAAAAAATTTTTTTGGTTAATAATGTTAATTTCCTAAAAATGACATATTACATCAAATAGTTAAATTCCATTATTTCAATCTGACATTTTTTTATTTTACTTTATTTTTCACAAGTCTATTAACATATTAACTTTAATGGCAATAAAATATTTATCCCATTTTATTGTCTAACATGATTTGTTCAATGATAAAATAATAGATTCTTATTTCAAACTAATCTATTTAACAAAGATTTGATGTAATTTTCATAATTATTATTTTTATATTGTAGTAAGTTGCGATACACTAAAATGTTTTAAAATATAAAACAAATAAGATATTTTTGCATTTCATTTGTATATATTTCATCAAGTTTGACACAAATTATATGAAAAAGTTTACAATCAATGAATAAGATAAATGTTTGTTTAAATCAACACATAGTTATTGATCTTACTGTTATGCTTTAACTGATTCATATAGAAAGAAAAGTAAAATTTTGATTTGTATGTTATGGTACAAGTTAATAAGTGATTACAAATAATTAACAATGCATGCATTATTTTATTCTTTTCAGTACCAATTAATCTTGAATAACATAAATGTCCCGATGTAAAAAAAATCACAAATTTCATTTAAAAGTGAGCATTCCAGTAAGGTTGCTGAGGAACATTTACCACTTAAGTAGTGGAGTGTGCAACGATACATGTTTGGATAGCGAGGCTCGACGATCATGTATTGTAGTACAGAGTATTAATTGGTTCACATAATTGTGATATTGTTATTATATTTAGAATTAGTCTACATAAGTTCATGTATACCTTTCAAGTTCTAAATGAAATAATTTACTTTGATGACTTTGTATGTCATGGCGATTAACAAGAACCAAGGACAATATCTTTCGCATATCCGTATATATCTAAAGAACTTCATATTTACTCATGGTCTGTTTTGTCGCTATTTCAACGGCCGCAAATGCTTATTTCAATGAATTGTAAAAATTAATTCATGAGCACGCCACGAAGAAGAAAAAAGTTGTATTAAGCAAGTATTCAATAATGTATAAAAATCTATATGTATAAATTACTTTGTATTTTTTAACTTTTTTTTTGTTCCCGTGCATTTGCACGGGAAACTATACTAGTTGTAAACTATCACATGCAATTATTCTTATAAAAAGATTTAAATTTAGTTTTACTGTGCTTATTTCTCAATCTTCTCCAAAGATTTCAAATAAAAAAGACCAACTAAAATAATGAAGATTTTGTTAACTAAAATTTTTATGCAATCTTTTTCACCATGACTTCTAAATATTATTATTTTGAAAATTGTATTTCAACTTTCAATATATTTGACAGAACTCATTATGTACCGTAATTCTTGTGTTTGATTAAGAAAATATAATAATTCAAAAGAATGAATAGACCATACATTTTTTTTTTTAAAAAAATATAATTTAAAATCATATTGAAATATAAATTATATATCACGTGCACATTACTAGTATTAAAAAAAATCAAGAATTATATTGGCAATAATCTACTAATCAATTTCATATTATATTAGGTTTCCCCACACACTAGGTCCGAGCATGGGACTCGGAGAATTCTGAACCGTTTCGAAAACCGAACCGAAATCACTCAGAACCGAAAAATAACCGTTGACCGTTTGACTTTCTCCGAACCGAACCGAACCGAAAAAATAATTGGTACGGTTCTGGAGTTTTCACAAATATCCGTACCGAGAACCGAACCGAACCGTCCCATACCGTACCGAACCTAAGAACCGAAATTAAGAACCGAATTATAATGTTAGATGCGTTATTAATGTATTTTATGTCACCTTTGATCCTTTATAATATAGTAATAATAACTATTAACTTTCACTTAACTTTCATGCTTAGTAATATTTGATCTACAATTGAATTTTTCCTATTATAAAATAATTATTTAAAATAATATGAAAGGTTAAAGAATATTTTTTTTAGAAAAAAAATATTATATTTTGTTTGAATTTTAAATTTTCAATATTAGTTGCACATATTTAGTCTTAACTAAAATTTAGAGTTACTTCTAATGTTGATTTCAAAATAAAATTATTAATATGAGGAAGTATTGATAAATGTTGGTTTTATTAAAGCATATAAAAGTTAAATAACTAAAATTTACTTCAAAAATTGATTTCAAAATAAAATTTTCAATATGATGAATTATTGATAAATGTTGTTTTTAAAATATATAAAATTAAAATATAACTAGGTAGTAATTAAAAAAATCTAAAAAAATAAGAAATCTCAGAAGACCCGAACCAAACCATACCGAACCGTACCGTCCCAATAGTCCCGAATACCGAACCGAACCGAATCGACTTTTTGGTATGGTTCCGGAGATCGAATTTTGAGATCTCTGAACTTTGGTACGGTTTCGGAGATTTATCAATCTCCGAACCGTACCGACCCACGCTCACCCCTACCACACTAAACTGATGGCTTTGGGCCTGATTGTTTATGAAATAATTTGTTCATTTTGGTTAACCATAGTTAATTTTGAAAAAGGTGGTATGATTAGTTGTAGTGAAGCTTTACAAATGTATTAAAATAATAGTTAAAATAAAATGATTAACAATTGATTTGATACAAAAGTAAGAGATAAATGATTGCATGTGATTGAAAATAATATGTAGTTAAAATTATGTAAGTGGATGAATAGTGAATTAAAGTTGATGTGATGTGTAAGAATGACTGGTTTGTTATATTTAATTATATGAATAATATTAAAGATAGTAGGGTTAAATTAAAGTTGAGTTAGATTTTGAGTTAGAAAGTGTGTAAATTAATTTGTATACAGCAACCCTTTATTTTCTTGAACAAATTCGATCGCACGCTGAACGTAGTTGGCAGTTCCCACGTCCTTGTTTTTCCACTTCCATTCTCTCTCACGCGGAGTTATTCATTCATATACAATCACAGATCCAATCTCATAACTTATACTGCATTTTTCACGTTTCCGAAAATGGCGACAATGGAAAGCTTGATCGGCTTAGTGAACAGAATCCAGAGGGCGTGCACCGTGCTAGGCGATCATGGCGGTGAGGGCATGTCTCTATGGGAAGCCCTTCCTTCCGTCGCCGTTGTTGGTGGCCAGGTCTCATCTGTTCCTTATCGTTCATCATCTAACATGCTGTTTGATTTTTTTCGGAATTTCCTGCAAATGATCTCACATTATTTAGTTTTTTGGATTCGGCAGAGTTCTGGAAAATCATCCGTCCTCGAGAGCGTGGTTGGGAGAGATTTTCTGCCTCGTGGATCAGGTAAAATCGCCGTCCTTGCTTGTTTGCTCCTTCTTCCCCCATCGGTCGGTCATTATATTTAGATTTTATCCATCTGGCATCAATCAGCATTGTAATTTTTTCGTGAATTTTGAGATAATAAATATTTCCTTTGTGCAGCATCATAAATAAAGGATTTAGTCTACTAACATTGCATCTTTGGCATTGCGTGTTATGGTTGACTCACGTTTGTGCGAATTTTGAGTTGTGGATTTGATTGAAGAACTTATAGTCGTCAGTTGTCACAGCTTAGACTATGGAATGTATTGTTTTTTGACAATGTCAATTTCGTACACTACATATGGCACTTATACTTCTGGCTAGCCAGAAGCAGGTAACCAATGCTTTTGCTGATCATAGATCAATTTGGACTGTGGGAAGTGTTTGTGATATGGTCTCTTACAGTGAATTACAATATGTAATAGACAAGTTTTGTAAGGGAACTGATAAGATAGAAGTTCAGTGGAAGATCATTTGGTAGGCCAGTTCTCACAGCTTTCCACACTGTTGTGAGATAATAATAGTTAATGATTTTCTTGAGAACAAGTGTATTGGAACTCATGTACAATTGTTAAACCATAGCATGTTGTTTTTACAATAACTCGTACTTCTTCTATTTTTTGGTCTCTTTTAAGGCATTGTGACAAGGAGGCCATTGGTGTTGCAACTCCATAAAACAGAGGGAGGGACAGAGTATGCAGAGTTCTTACATGCACCAAAGAAGAAATTTTCCGACTTCGGTACGAGTTTTTTGTACTTACTTTTTTTCGGGTTTCATAGACTAGTGGTAATTCTAGGATGTTGCGTTCAATTAACTTCATGTTGCTTCCTGTTACTAGTCTCTCTTGTTTTTTATTTTTTATTTTTTTGCCTTACTTTTATGCTTTTCTTTTATTTTCATTAGGCTTTTCGTATAGCGGAGTTTCTCTTCATTTTTATGTTTGTTCACTTTGTATATTTCACCTCATTTTCTGCTTCCTACATCACCTAACCTCTCCGTTACATTAAGATTCTTGTATATTCCACCGAGTTCATGAAGAAACATGTATATGACTTTCTCCCAGCAGCTTGCTGTTTGCCCATAATATAAGATTTTGAGAGAGTCGAGAATCCTAAAGGCAATTTCAAAACCTTGAATACTTTCATGAATATTATGTCCTGAAAAGAGTAATACTTGTGGAGGAATCTCAACAGTTCCATTTAAGTATGTTAGGAAAGCTGTACTATTTAATTTAGTGTGATATAGTATGATTTTAGATGTATCATGCATATTGCTGATCTGGAGTTATGAGTAAGACATAGTTTCTGGTAGAATATTAGTAAAAAAGGGAAAAAAAATTAATGAAATAATAAAATGTATCTGTCTACATATGTTCATTTCAAAGTTTAGGTTCTCAATAAAAGTATGTGGAGTTTACTGTAATTCTATTGACGTAGATATGTCCTCCAGACTACTTGTCAAGTTGCTATAGAATAACATTGCCATGTTTTTGACTGCACAATATGTGAGAAACTTATTTAGCCTTCCACTTTTTATATATAACTAGGCATTTTTTGGATGGTGCAGCTTCTGTACGTCAAGAGATAGCAGATGAGACGGATCGCATAACAGGGAAGAGCAAACAAATATCCAACGTCCCTATCCATTTGAGCATTTACTCCCCTAATGGTTTGTCATTATACTTTCACTACTTCCCGTCCACAGTCATTTGCTTTTAAAAAACATGGAATGGTTCATGTTATTTCAGCTCTTAACTCCTAAATTTTATGCTATTGGGAGTTATACCTTTAACTTTAAATTCTTCTCTTAACGATGCTGCTGCTGTTATATCTGAAAATAAATGGATATGATATAAGTTCTGTAGTTAATAGGTTACATGCAAAATTTTATGTAAAGTTGATAAAGATGTGTGAATAGTATGAAGCTCTATTTTGTTTCCTGAATAGCTGTAAAATATGATCGGTAACAAATCCTCAGAGTCATATTTCGCTTTTTGTGTCATAGGATAATTTTGGATCCATCTTTAAATACTGGTATATATACAGATGGTAGTTAAAGATGTGAGACAGGGACTATAGACTTAAGCAAGTTATATTAAGAGGGATACTTAATCATGTCTTTGTTGTCATATGTATGCAGAGCGTATTTACACGAAAAAAGTTCTAAAAAGGAGATTTCTCTGTTAATAAGCACTGGTTTATTTAGAATTATTTCTCCATGTCATTATTCTGGTATTCCTTCTACCAAACACTCACCTTTTACATCCCATGTCCTGTTTAACAGCATTGTTTCTTTTTTTTTTTTTTTCCTT